TTATATTCATATTTAAATTTTCACAAATATGTATGTATGTATGTAATTGATACTGTCAATGTTGAAATAATTTATAAGTGCTGTAAAAGTAATATTTGAATATGCGTAAATATTAATTAATTTAAAATTAATATGAGTGAATATATATGTGACAATGAATGTTGAATCATTTATTTAATTTTCAATTAAATAAAATTTGATGTTAACTAGTATACATGGACGTGAATAATGAAATGCATTTTGAATGTGAAACTCTAATTAATTTATAATTAGAACTAATAACACTGAAATGTATAAATGATGATAAATATTAATTAAATGAATTTAAATTTAATTAATAGAGAATTCATACATTGATGAAAACACACTGGTGAAATGAATCTGTCAAATGTAAATTGATGGTAATTAAATGGTTAAATAAAATAAATACATGTTAAAAAACGAAAAGTAAGGTATTATTGAAATAATTGAATTATAATAGAGTTAAAACCGTAAAAAAAAAATATCGCTTGATGTAATATTTAATTCCAATTAAGTAAAATTGCATATTAATCGCATACACAGTCGTAAATAATAAAATACATTTTTAATGTGAAATTTTAATTAACTTATAATTAGAATTAATAACACTGAAATGTATAAATGAATATGGATATTAATTAAATGAACGTGAATATTAATTAATTGATAATTAATAATAGGTAATTCATACATTAATGAAAGTACACAAGTGAAATAAGTCCGTCTAATGTATGTGTACATTGATAATAACTAGATGTTTAAATAAATTAATGGCTTGTTTATTTTTTATTCTCAAATTCTACAGTAAATCAATTCTCATTTTCAACCACACATTCTTCAATAAAATAATATTTTCTATCACATCAATAAATTTTTCTCTTTTTTAACCATACATTTCCCATCATATCACTATTCAAAAATAGGGGGTGTTTGTTAGGGATTTTTTGATTCTACAGTAAATCAATTCTCATTTTTAACCACACAATCTTCAATAAAATAATATTTTCTTCTTTTTCAACCACACATTTCCTATTATATCACTATACAAAAATCATTTCTTCCCCCAAAAATTCCTACCAAACAAGCACTAAATATATATGAAAAACGAAAAGTAACTTATTATTAAAATAATTAAATTATAGTAGGGCTAGAATCGTCCAAAAATGTTCTAATTTGATGTGATATTTAATAATTCTACTTGATTGGATAGTAAATTATATTATTAAAAAAATATTGGAATAAAAGATGAATAATTTCAGAGTTTTCTTCCAATTGATTTATTTAATGAGTGTTAAGATATATACAAGATAAACGGAGGGACATAAATGAATATGAATATTAATTAAATAAATGTGAGTTGGAGTGGGAGTTAGTGTGAATACCAATTAATCTGTCAAAGATACATTTACATTGAATCAATGTAAATGTCATTGATAGTAACTAAATGATTAAATAAATTAAATACATATTGAAAACGAAAAGTAATGTATTATTTAAATAGCTGAATTATAGTAAGGCTAAAATTGTCCAAAAAATGATTATCACTTAATGTGATATTCGCTTCCAATTAAATAAGATTGGATATTAATTAACATACATGACCGTGAATAATGAAATGCATTTTTGAATATAAAATTTTAATTAACTTATAATTAGAATTAATAATACCGAAATGCATAAATGTAGATGAATATTAATTAAATGATTGTGAATGTTAATTAATTGAGAATTAATATTAGGGGATTCATACATTAATGGATGAATACAAGTGAAATGAATCAGTCAAGTATATATGTACATTGATGATAATTAAATGGTTAAATAAATTAAATGCATATTAAAAAACGAAAAGTATTATTGAAATAATTGAGTTATAGTAGGAGTAGAGTCGTCAAAAAAATAATTTTCACTTGATATGATATTTAATAATTCCACTTGATTAGATAGTAAATTAAATTCATAAAAAAAAAAAATTGGACCAAAAGATAAATATTTTTAGAGTTTTCATCCAATAGATTTATTCAATGAATGTTAAGATACAAACGAGGTATATGGGGGACATAAATGAATGAGAATGCTATTTAATCGAGAATTAATAATAATAATAACAACGAATTCATACGTTCAATGAATGTTAAGATACAAACGAGGTAAATGGGGGACATAAATGAATGTGAATGCTATTTAATCGAGAAATAATAATAATAATAACAACGAATTCATACGTTAATGAAAACACTGAACACACACAGGTGAAATGAATTTGTCAAATGTACATGTAAATTAATGGTAACTAAATGGTTAAATAAATTAAATACATATTGAAAAACGAAAAGTGAAATATCATTGAAATAATTGAATTATAGTAGGGAATCATCTAAAAAATGATTCTCACTAGATATGTTATTTAATAATTTCACTTGATTAGATAGTAAATTAAATTCATTGAAAAAAATTTGGAACAAAATATGTATATTTTTAAAGTTTTCTTCTAATCGATTTATTCAATGAATGTTAAGATACAAACGAGATAAATGGGAGGACATAAATGAAAATGAATATTAATTAAATGAATGTTAATGTTAATTAATCAAGAATTAATAATTTGGAATTCACGCGTTAATGAAAAACATACATGTGAAATGAATTTGTCCAATATACATGTACATTGATGTTATTACATGGTTAAATAAATTAAATACATGTTGAAAAACGAAAAGTAAAATATTTTATTCAATGAATGCTAAGATACAAACGAGGTAAATGAGGAACATAAATGAAAATTAATATTAATTAAATGAATGTGATTGTTAATTAATCGAGAATTAATAATAGATAATTTATACATTAATGAAAACACGCGTAAAATGAATATGTCTAATGTATATGTACATTGATAGTAACTAAATGGTTAAATAAATTAAATAAATATTGAAAAACGAAAAGTAAAATATTATTAAAATAATTGAATTATAATATAGTTAGAATCGTCAATAAAATGATTCTCACTTCATGTAATATTTAATATATTATAGATAAATGAATTAAAATAAGATACCCTTGAAAAAAAATCACAAAGAAGTGCTACTTTTATCATTCTCACTTTCATAAACACCAAGAATCACTTGAAGTGATTCAAAATTAATTTTTCATATATGGGCTAAATGAATTAAATAGCAAATCATACAAACTTGTAGATTTGAGTTGATTATTTGCAGATTTGAAAAAGAAATTTTTTTTTTTTAAATGTAGTTGAAGCAACCCTTATCTTGTTTGTGCTTGATATATGCAAATTTTTTTTTAATTATTATTTTATGATTTCGATTTTACTTGATTTGGATATTGAAAGAGTTGGAATTTTAGCTGTTGTTTGTTATGATTTTTCAAAACGACAGTACAAGTAAGGATATTTAATTGAGTACCCATGTAAATATTTCTTCTTCGCCATTTTCTCCGAGAACTCCGCCTTCTTTGTTGAGAGAACACCCAAAAAACCTCAGCATACAAAGCGAATTCGCCCTTAGTTCAGTTGAAAATTGAATCTGATTTTATACTGAAATGCATAAAGCACTAAGAGCCTATGGGGAAGTTCTAAGGCTGGTGAGGCGGCTGCCGAAGGACACGAGACCTTACTATGCCAAATACGTCCGTGAAAACTTCGTTAATTACAGAGAGGTTGATCCGCATGATGCCAATGCTGTTCAAGAACTCCTCAACCGAACTTACACTCACTCCCTGTGGGTCCTCAATAAGGTTACCCTTGTATTTGAAACTGTTAATTATGAAATAATATATGTGATTTTTCCGTGCAATTGCATTTTGTTTGTATCTTATTGCTAGTTTTTGTGAGGATATGCAGTATTCAGTGGATGAAGCTGCGGCAAATAAGCTGAGGGAAGTTTGCGTCAGTTGATGGTCAGCCTTGCACACGAAGTGTTTGCTTTTATTCCCAGAAGACTAGTACAGGCTTATTTCTTGTGTAGAATCTCAAGGAAATTTTGATTTTTCAAAGTTTTTTTTTTCCCCTTCCTGATTTTATTTGCATGATATCATGAGATGTTGTTGATCAAAGCTGAAGAATAATTGAGACAATTTTCAATTCAAAATAAAATATACGTATTTTTCCACTTTATCATGGCAATTAACAAATTGTCTTAATTATGTCTGATCAAGATCTTCTCTGCAATGCTATTTTATAATTGGGAATTGGAGAATTTAGCTACGAACCATTAATAATTACCCAATTTCCAATTGATTTTAGTTCCCAGTGTTGATTAAAATCAGATTTTTAGTAGATTTTGATAGAAGTTCATGAAATGAGTGGTTGAAAGGTTAAGGAATTTATAATATATGTGGTTAAAATTAATTGTTGACTTTAATTTAGATTAAATCTAGATTTTAATCGATATCAAACATGGACTTAATCTCCGTCATAAGAATCCTAACAGGACGGAGAACTGGGAAGGCCGCCTGACCTCTTTGCCATCTAGCAAATGGCTGCGACTCAAAAATGAATTCGCAACAATTTCCCAATAGTAAAGCTCGTGTAAATGTCATGTTTAAAAATTTGAACAATGTTGTTTATTCTCGAAAGTGATCAATAGTGTATGTGGTAGGTGAAGTAATATTAAATGATAAAATCAATTATATATATGTATATGAGTATGAGATACGTTTTAATGATTTTATCATTTAACATTACGTTATAATATCATCAGCAGGTAAGGATGAATGGCAGTGTCTTAAAAACTTTTCATAATCCAGTGAGATCTATGTTAGAATTTACAAAAAATTTGGATAATTGTAAGTTGTAACAATCTTGTTACTCGAATTTGAAATCCCTTTTTCAGGATTTTTAGAATTCTCAAAGATCAAATAAATCTTGTTATGATTTTATGCATTTTGGTTAATCAATCCATCAATATATAAGGATGAAAAGCTTCATAGATCTTGAACAAATTAAAGACCACATGTTCAAAATGGCTAAGTTCTTGGATTCTCGTGTGTTTGGAATTGTCCTTTTATCATTGATGATGTCTGGTATGGATTTAATTAATTTTATTTCTATTTGTACGACTGGTTGAGATTGTGATGGGTTCTCTTTATTCTTTCTTCTACTACAGCACCACAAGGCCTTTTTGCAGTCAAATACATTGTCACAAACACCGTCCCGAACCACCCAGGCGGACAGCGGTTCAACCAGGAAATCGGGGTTCCGTACACCCTACAACAAATGTGTTTTATCAATAAATTCATATGGAAACTTTTCGATCAACCTACCGATGCTCAGAGAAAAAAGGTGCCAGTTTTGAACGTATACATCTCAGATATCGACGATGCAATGGCCGAAACAAGTGGTGACAACATATACGTCAGTGCTAAATTAGCCATACAATCCTTTCCACCAGGCAAGGCAAGAATTGGGTTCACTTCATTAATGTACCATGAAATGACACACATATTCCAATGGTCCGGTAATGGGACCGCCCCCGGTGGACTAACCGAAGGGATAGCAGACTACGTGATGGTAAAATCGAATATTAATTACGAGACGAGACCTAGTCCAGGTGTAGGTGAAAAATGGGACGAGGGATATGGTGTCACGGAAAGATTTTTAGAATATTGTGACAGTTTAAGAGCTGGATTTACTGCTAAATTGAACAATAAAATGAGATATGTGTATAGGGATGATTATTTCCATGAGTTGTTGGGAAAACCTTTAGATAAGGTGTGGAAGGAGTACAAGGCCAAGTATGGTAATATTCCAGCCTCAGAGTCTTTGTTCAGAATATGAAATAAAATTTTACAGAAATAAGAAAAATCTATGAGATATTTATATATAATAATGAGAAGTAGTGAAGAACCTTGGTTGTAAAGTTGAAAATTATGTCGATAACTAGTTTATTGTGAATCGAGTTGCTCCATTGCAGAAACCACTTCACTAATGCTTTGGAAGTTTCTTCTATCCTTGAGAAGATTCTTGGCAAAGTTCAGAGCTTTTCGTTCACAATCGGCTCGTTTCTTAGCCTCTTTGATCGATTCAAAATCTTCGACATGAGCTAATCCAACAATTCTCCTGCAAATCAAGAATGTGTGTTTATCAGATGCCAGGAAAAACTAGAGCTGATCTTCAATGATAATTCCAACTAAGATCAGCTCTCTAACAAGCAACAAGAAAATTTTGACAGTGTTGGAAAGAATTATTCGGACATCAGTACATAAACGAGCAACAAAAGCTTGCGATTTACAAACACCGATATTATGATGTAAACTCTACACCAATAAAAGTCACCGAAGATATGAGATAAAATCAGCAGAAGGCACAATAAAAAAAGCAATGTTGAGAATCTAATTCACAGAGGAGATAAGCCCGTCTAACCTTATCATTTTGGCAGCCCCAAATCCAAGAGTGTCGTGGAAAAGTTCTTTCATGTATTTGTTTTTTACAAGCAACTGCACGTCTGGATTATTATAAATTGCAGGAAGATATGCCTCTCCAGGACCATCCTTGTGTTCATCCCAAAGAGCAGTAAACTTTTTATAGAAGAGGTTCCAAGTCTCTGTTATAGTCTTCAAAATCCATACTTTATACGGCTGCATTGGAAGAATTTTTTCACTGATAAGTGATAAGCTACTGAGCATTAGTTCCATTAAAATATGGATCTGAATACAAACATTCCTAACAGTCATAATCAGATAGGAAATTTTGAAAAGCAAAAACGATGTAGAAGTTTAGGAAGATGACCAAAAAGGTAAATAAATCCCAAATCGTCTACCATGATGATACGTAAGATCTAAAAAGGAAGTAGCAAAGAATAGAGCCTAGAGGAGAAATTGTCTCCAGACCACAATGTTCGTGAAAAGAGGAAAACCACTGAGATGTTACTAGTTTACTACAACACGTAGCCACACCGAGGATTAATTCTGCAGATACATCTTAAGAGTATATCTCAAAACAGCCATTCAACTTTACTCCAGAAACAAATGTCCAAGAACCTCACTAACAAAATTGATTTTTTTTTTACAATAAATCTTGCTTGCTTTCAAACTAAAAATCCAGGGTGGGGTAGATTTATGTGCCCAAGTGTGTCGAGTATACAACAGATATTTATTAATTTCAGGCATTTCCTCTCATCATAACATGTATAGATATAAGTAATTTATTTGCTATATGCATGATAAGACAAACTGGAGTGAAAGCAATCTAGCAAGCAACTAGGAGAAGGAATATTCTAGAAGATATTATTTCTAAGGGGTTGGATAGAGATATCCTGAAATAAAAATATCCTGAAAAAACATATACTGAAGCAGGGAATTACTGCAAAAAACTCAAGATAGATAGTCAGAAAATTAGTGAAGATGAAAAGGGATGTGGAGTCACCTTTCGATCATTCCCACAGAGAGCGTGTCCATCTTGTGCAAAGTAAGCTAAAATCAAATTCCCAACAAAAGCTCCAATATCATATCCCATTGGCCCATAAAAACCGAATTCTGGATCTATAACTTGAGTTGAATCTCCAGTAACCATGATAGAACTTGTATGGAGATCACCATGTATAAGAGCTTGGGCTTTTTCACAGAATCTGGAAGATTACCAAACAAATGTAAGGAAAAATTCCGCATTCTATTGAAAAATTAACAAAATGCAGTATAAAGAACTGAATTTTAACGCGCTGCAGATTACTTTGATTTTAGCTTAGCAATTTCGAACTTTAAAATGTTATCCCCCCGAACTGCTTCAGCATCAGAATCAAGATAAGGAGATGTCCAACGATTATGCTCAGACACTTTGTAAGGGTCAGAAAAGACAAACTGCTCAGTGAGTCTGCATAACTCCACATTTCCACAATATTTAGCAACTGCAAAAGCATTGAGGTATTAATGAGGCAAGCATAGCCAAGCATTTAATATGGTTAAGATTCACTAACAAGGATAAATTTTCTCCATCAACGTGCAAAATCAGCCTAGCAGGTATGTTCCAAAGTCCAACATTACTTGATGTGCGAGCTGAAACTCATAATTATTTCTTAAATCTAGCAGAGAATGGAACCCAGGAAGAGAATTAATACTGAATAGCAAAGGGAGGAGAAGATAAGGAGAGAACATGAATGGAAATGACAGTGGTGCTGATCAGAAAAGATAAGGTGTGAAGGCCACGAAACTAAGGCACAGAACACAAAAGGCCAACCTAAGCAATTGACAAATTAGTACCTTAGGGGTCTGCAATGACTAAACAGAAACCTACCAGCAGAGTTATCACATTCTAAAATTCTAGTACAACTTTCTGATAAACAATTGCAGTCAAGTGTAGATCTAGTACAACTGTTAGATAATCATTAAAAAATAAAACAGAATAAATTGACATTGTGAATATGTTATTAAGTAGAAGATACATAAACCTATTTGTATAAGACCATGAAAATTGCTTACCTGCACTTTTATGCTCTGTTGTTGTAAGATACAGAAGGGACGTGTAGAATAGAGTTTTAGCCATATAGTCTGACATGTGCTCCGCAACAAATGGATACTCAATCCCAGCAATCAACCCCTTTCTTAGGATTATATGAGGAGGCTCAATGTACCGCATGCTGATTAAACACATCGAACTGTCGAAATGGTAAACCTCAGGAACAAGGTCAGGACACAAGCGACCATGCTCCTTTAGCGTTGTTGTTTCAAAATAGGAACGTTCTTTTGCCATTGGCGATGACTCCCCTATACAACGAATATAAGGAACAGCCTGCAGATTTTATAAGTTTTAAATTATTTAGACCCACGTGCGGAATTACACAATTAAAAGCAACAAGTCACTTTTTAATTGTTTCTAGATGATTTGAACAAACAAGTCAATTTATCCTAAATTTTAATACCACGATCAATAATTAAAGCAGTAAAAAACACCGAAAATGATTACAGAGAAACCCCAACTAGGTAAAAACTCTGAGCACTTTGCTAGTCAATAATCCACTATAAATTGAAGCAAACTTACAATACGGTCTAGACTTTTCTACTTTGTAGAACTGTTGACCTCAATTCCTGCAGTCTTCCTTAATCCTACTGGAGGTGTGCTCCTTCAAAACAAATCACGACTCCTAGTTTATACCTTAACCTTCCTGGACTGCGTGCTCCTGACACCAGACCCCGACTCCTCGATCTTCACCTCAGTCCTCTTGAATTTGTGCTTCTACAAGACTACAACAGCTCCCGATCTCTGGTATCGATTTATCTCCAGTGGATTAAGTGGTTTGGTGTTTGATCAATAGATTGTGTGTTTTGATATGTGGTTTAATATGATACAATATAGTTTGATCAACAAAATATGTTTTGGAAGAATTTATGAATCAAGTAATACGTGATCGTTGAATTTTGGAATCAATAAATGTTTTGGATCTTCAAATAAATGATCTTTATGGAATAAATATGATTCAACACACTTTTGAACGTTTATATGGTAGGATATATAGAAAAAAGTGTTTGGGATGAAAAGGATTGAAAAACCAACTCTAGCGTCAAACCAGCGACATACGAGCAGCAATTGAGAAGTCGTCAGTATTTTTATCATAACTTTATCTCCCGATATCCGATTGAGGTGATTCAAAATACGTTGGAAAGATAACTCAATTGACTAAGATTCTAGAAATAGCCTTGTCCAAATTCCAATGATTTCTATGTGAAAAATATATTGCAAGTTGAAGAATTTGGAACATAACTTATGCGGCTCTTTAACACTCTTTAAACTTCTAATTGCATTCATTTGATCATATGTGATCTACTTGGACATCTTAAACTCCTTCGAGGACTATACTCATAACCCCAACTCTTTTGACTTTAATAAGGATTTAATAACTCATATTTTGACTTTGATTATAATTCGATAAAATCCTAATACAATTAAACTAAGACTTAATTTTGATTAAGGAAATTGTCAATTACAAATTTAGAAGTTGTCAATTATATAGTTTGGACTTAACACGAAGGAACAAAATGAATAGTTTTTCTTGAGAAATGATATTTTGATCTATATGAAAGAGGCTTTTCAATCTTAACATCTTCTCCATGATACACCTTTAGGTTTTGAAGTGCTTGATTTTGAAGTTGTTCTATATATTAGACACCCCAATATGTGAATACGTAATAAAACTATACAGCTTTCTCTGGTTGACTAAAACTACTGCGAGGTAGATTTTTATTATGACGTTATGCTAGAGTAAGATGGCAAAAAGAAGACGTGTGTAAGAAATTCCAAGAACGCTGGTATTGCCTTCTCCTTTAAATCTAAAGCCTCATCTAGTACCCAGTTCAACTTCCTTCATTCTGGCTTCTTATTTGCATATCAAAATGAAGTTGGGGAATGATGTCCCAAAGAATTCTCTTTCCAAGAAAATCTGAAAATTACTATGGATCAAAAACCCTCATCTTCCTGAATCACCACTGGCTAATATCGCTATGCAAAGAAAATGAATGAGTTTTAACCCTTGAATAATGCAATTTAGCACCATTGTAGTGGCCACGCCATTGAGACGGGTGCTTGACATCATTGGTAGCGAATAACATTATTCATTATCCCTTTGGTATTTGGAAGTAAAATAAAAGAAACAAAAACTTTTTATTCTCGCAAGTCGATCCAATTCTAAATAATGATTTTGAGAGCAGTGATCTTATACAGTTGTACCTGTTTGATAACGAAGGAACCAGAGGGGCTAATAACAGTATACACAAAATTAAGATTTCCATCTCCTATTTCTTTAATTTCCAGCTTATCAAACTGATTGCCCAGCTTTTCAGCCAATATTGGAGTTGCCTTGACGTACTCCAGCAGTAACTTCTCGTCCAGTGGCCGGAACCCATTGGAAGACATCTCCTAGTGGTGGTCAGCGGCAGCGAAGAAGCTTTGAGAGTCACAGAGTCACAGAATCTGTATAATAATTGAGGAAGGGACCGGAAAACCTCTGACTATTAATGTGACTTGTGTATAAATGGAAGAAAAGAAGGACTTTGCTTTTGGTAGACGGAAGAAGCACGCTGTAATAGTATAGACTTTTGAGGACTGCCACATGGACGACAAGATGTTCTTTGACTCGGGTTGTATTTTAAGCTCGTGTTTCTTGATATTTTAATTTAAGTTAAAATTAACAATTAATTTTAATTATAAATTTTATGGGTACTATATTTTTTTAACCACAATTTCATTCACTTCTATTAAAGCCTATCAAAAATTTAATTTTAATTTCCACTAAAACTAAGTAAATTGGACGAACTGGACATGGACCCAATATATTACCGTGTGTATAATATGTTCACGCGCTATATATTATAGGCTTTCCGGCAATGTGATAGGGACACGAAGTGAGGGGGGAGGATCATTGAATCAAGTCATATTTTAAATTTAGAGTAATGGTACGTTTGATTGCAAGGGTGGAAAATTGGTGGAAAGAAAATATTTTACAGGGAAAAGATTTGCCTAGAAAATGTTTTGTAGGGAAAATGATTTCAAGTGTGTTTGATTAGTATAATTTTCCACCCAGAAAATTTTTAAATTTTATATTCGTTTAACTTTATTTTACATGAAAATTGTCCATTAAAGTGATTTTTTTTTTCAACAATTGGTTATAAAACTTGTACCCATTGCCAAAAAGTTCAAAAAAAAACGAAAAAAAAATTTGTTTCCTAAAAAATCATTTTTTTATCAAAGTTTAGTGTTCGTTTGACTTTGTTTTACATGTAAATTGTCAATTAAAGTGAATTTTTTTTTTACAATTGGTTATGACATTTGTTTATATTACCAAAAAAAAAAAAAAATTCCATCAGCCTAGAAAATCATTTTCCCACCAAAAAGGTGGGAAAATGATTTCCCCAAAAAAATGGAAAACAGGCGCATGGAGGAGTTGCAAGGAAAAGATTTGGATGAGAAAATATGGCACTTTCCCCAAAAAAATGGAAAACAGGCACGTGGAGGAGTTGCAAGGAAAAGATTTGGATGGGAAAATATGGCACATCAAACAAGTCAAAACCAAGGAAAAGGAAATTATTTTCCAAGTTCCAATGAAAAGATGGCCAATCAAACATGGCCTAAATTGAAAATCAAACATGGCCTAAATTGAAAATTAGTATAATATGTCTACACATTGTATAGTATAGACTTTTAGGTACTACAATAAGGAAGAAGATATGATGAAGGAGGTTCATTGAATCGGGTCGTATTTCAATTTAGAGTATATTGAACGAATAGGACATTGACGGGACATATGACAATGAGTATAATATGTCCACACGCTGCATAATATAGACGTTTCAGCACTACGACAAGGGCGGCGGAGGTTCGTTGAATCGGGTCGTATTCTGAACGGAATGAACGTTGACTCGACATACCACGCACGTTGTATAGTATAGACTTTTGGACACTACGATAAGGACGACGATGTGATGAGGGAGTTTCATTAAAGCATATTGTATTTTAAAATTGAAGTAAATTGAACAGACGGGATATTGACCCAACATATGACCGTGAGCGTAATATGTTCAAGGGGATTTCGATTAAAAGGCCTAGTTAATATTTAGTCTCTATTTGGTATAAATTAAAATTTAGATTTTAATATAAGTCAAAGTCAACAATTATAATCACACATTTTATGGGTCCTACAATTTTTCAACTACACATTTTATCAGTTTCAATCAAAATCTAATAAAAAATTTTGATTTTAATCCCCACCAAACACGACTTTGTTAAAAAGCCTTCACTAAATAGTTTTGGATCAAATAGCATATAATCTATTTTATTATATTATATGTTAAAAGTCTTAAATACCCTTCACTTAAAATGTTAAAAATGTCCTATTTAAATCAACATTTACCAAATCCTCCAATCATAATCCCCACGTTTATTCTCACTTTCCATGGTAGTTCATGACAGAAATGGTAGAATGGCATGCCGTCGTTTAAACTATTTCGCGTCAATTTCACGTTATGTTCCTGCATCGACACAAAGTTCACACAATATAACCAACACTATAGGTACGTGAGTAAACTAACTAGACTTCACTAAAATCGAAGTTAAGTAACTCAAATTTTATTATACTCTAATTATGAGATAGGGTACTCAACAAATTAGTTCCTTAACTTTTATAAGTCTTTTAAGATGTTTCAAAATATGAACAAGTAGCTTTAAAGTGAAATCGAGATCTTGTGACCCAAAATGAGCAGCCTTTTTAAATGGCCAGGTTTTGTTTCAACTAATTTCGTGTTCATTTCATTTTATCTTCGTTCATATCCACATGAAAATAAACGAATGCAAATTTTCACTATATTTGATATCATGGTTGATACAAATTTCACGCGATAATGACCTACACTATTGTTCCTTGAATAAACTATACTAGATCCCACTACGAACATAGGTAAGTAATTCAAATTGAATTATATTTCAATTATAAGATAAGATACTTAATAAATTAGCTCGTTTAACTCGTGCAAGTCTTTTAAGATATTCCAAAATATAATCAACTAGTTTTGGAGTGAAATCAAGACACCGTGACCCAAAATGGAATGTTGCATTTTAAACGTCTATGTGTTGTTTCAACTAACTCTGTATTCGTTTCACCTTGTAATATCCACGTGTAAATGGACGGATGCGACTTTTCATTACATTTGGACACCATGTTCAATACAAAATTCACACGATAATGATTAAAATTATTGTTTCACAAGTAAACTATCCTAGATTTTACTACGAATGAATGTAAGTAATTTAAATTGTACTATATTCCAATTAAGAGACAATATACTTAACAATATCTCGTTTAACTTGTGTAAATTTATTAAGATATTCTAAAATATGATCAATAATTTTGGAGAGAGATCGAAATCCCTGTGACTCGAAATGACATGCTACATTTTTAAATGTCTGGATGTCACTTCAACTAATTAGCTTGTTTAACTTGTACAAGTACTTTATGGTATTTCAAAATATGATCGACTAGTTTTTAAGTGAAATTGAGATCTCGTGACCCAAAACGATTGTGTGCCATTTCAACTCATTTAACTCTATCTTTAATAAAAATAACATAGTCGAGTTCGTTTTCCATTTCCGCAACAAAAAAAAAAATGCTAAATGATCACGTTAAATAGAATGTATAGGCTCTATATAAAATCATGGTGGAAATTACATGTTTAGATATATAAATTCAGCATCTATCCAAATACTCAACATTTAGTTGAACTAAAGGGAATGTTCAAAGACACAAAAATAAAGCAACATGAGATGCTCAAATACTAATATATTGGCAGCCCTCCGAGTATTGATCGAGTCAAATTTACACATTGTGAAGTAGGGCTGGACATAGTTCGATCGTCTTCAGATTCGAATCGAACTGAATCAAATCTTTCGTGTATTTAATAAATGGAACTGTCAGGTCCAAATATAATTATGGAACTGTTTGGGTTCAGTTCTGTTCGGTTCAATTCGGTTCGGTTCCGTATCATAATTAAAATTTTTAACAGATTTCTAATGGTCAACGATCGGTGGTCGTGGTTGGAGGTCACGACTTCAATGGGCATTGGAGAGGGGAAGTTGGCTGTTTCAATTAGGGTATGTAGATGTAGGTTTTCAATTTATCAAATGATTTGGGGTCAGTGACTCATTGATTATCGAATGAAAGTATGAAATTGGAAAGAGAAAGGTAAAAACTTAAAGAGGCCTAGATCTTAGTTTAAGAATGAAATTAATCATAGGACCAAAGAATTAAATCAAAAAATTGAATTTAGAAATTAGGTTGAGTTGTGTTGGATTGGGATTGAGAGTTAAAACATTAATAACTAAATTGGTAATTTGTTTAGAAAAATTAAAAAAATATATAATTAATTCAATAAAAAAAATTTAAAAACATATTTAAATTCAGTTCTCATTCAATTATTCAGTTTTGAGTCTAGAACCGAAAATCGAACCAAACACATTGGTTCTCAATTCAAATACTCGTTGAGATATTTAACTTATGAAGAACCATTCGATTCGGTTCAGGTTCAGTCCGATTCAATTCGGAAGTTTCTCCCAACCCTATTGGGAAAACTTAAAACGACAAGGCACATAGGTGAAATTAGAGATCAATCATACCATAACGTATTGAAGTAGTTTAGGGGACGGAGAGAGGTCTTTTGGTAGATGACAATGTCTAACTTTCAAAAAAGAACACTTCACGAGCAATGATAGAAATTCTAGACTCCACACAGAAAACTTTACAATATTAAATGAGTAATCTAATAATGTATACGAGAAACTACGACTTAGGTAAAAACACAAGCAATAAACAAACAGAGATACAAAGAAAAATCATGTATTATGAATACATATAGAAATCAAAATTAAAGTCAATAAACAAAAAAATCCATAAAATAAATAGTTAGAAGCAATAATTTTTTTTTTTACCTAGGGTTCGTAAACCTTTTTCGACACATGGGACGCAATGTGCAATAGTTGAGGTGGTGATAGTGGTTGTGAAAGAGATGAAATTGAACAGGAGATTCAATAATCCTTAGCGGAAGAATGAAGGAAATGGTAGGAAGAAGACGTGTGTTTCGAATTAGGGGAATGATTGGTAACTTGATTTGTCTTGTTTCTATTTGAAGGTTTTTTGGGAAGTTAAATATTCAGGTGCAAAACCCAAATCTAAACCCTAACCATGACGGATCAATTTCTCATCCGCAAGTTTCGGTGGCGGCCTCTCGCCGGCGCCAAAAATACTGTGACCGCAGCATTTTACCAGCTTCAACATTACCATGCCAATGCTACATCCATTAATACCGACGGGGGAAACACTAACGAGGAAAAAAAGACCAACCAATGGCTCACTCTACCGGCGTTCACTCCCTCCGTTGACGGTTCTGCAATCGGAAAAGTACTCTCCGGCCGGCCATCGGACACCAAAGCTAGAACCATTACCAATAACGTGACTGCGCTTAAATGGATCCTCAAGTGCTGCCCTCAACTTCCCAGGTCCCTTGTTCACAAGCTCTTTAGACTAAGACAGGTGCATTTTCTGAAACATACACTGATACACAAACAAACACATACACACAGTGAAGCTTGAGAAGAGCAGAGCCGAGCTGAGCTCGGGATCGTTCACTGTCGGCTCATTCGTGAAACGAGCTCAAATCCATGAAGATGCTTGATTGTTGATAATTCAGGAAAAACCAGTTATTTCTGTATAATTAACAACTAATGCAGTTCATGAATTTGATTTACACAATATTACAACAAAAATAATAGACGGTGATAAATGATAATAGAAATGCAATGCAAACTAAGGAAGCGATTAATGTACTCTCTATTCTTATTTTATTATTATTATTATTGCTTTTCCCATTGGTGTAAATTTAAATGTATCCAAAATTTATATCAAGATTTCACTTGATTATTCCCTCAACTTAAGTGCTTGTTCCTGAACCAGCCTGCACTGGCAATTGAATGAACTTTAAGTTAGCTAGCACCCTGCTCTTTGGCAGTCCGAACGGAGGTGATTTTACATATGCACATCAACACGCATATGTTTAACCTATTTCTTTCCTTTGGCATTTTACATCAGGTTCGAAAAGAATACTTTGCAGAAGAAACAAAGTCATGTCAACTCAAAAGGGTAAAACAGTGATACGTAAATATGATTTTCATATCATTTATTTATATTATTATTTGTAAAGGCTTTTTTTACCCTTCTTTGATGCAAGCTCCATTTTTATGTTCGACAATGTGTTTTTTGAAGGTAGGAGCCAAGGATCTGATGGACACCGGCGATAGAATATTCCTTCCAACAACAATTGATGTAAAGACTTGCTCAACAAAACATGAGAATGAGAACCTTTGCAATGAAGAAATGAAGTTTATCCGTGGCCTTGAATTATATAGGGTATTAGTCTCTGTAAACTGTTTCAGTCGCATATGCTGTCAGATGCTTAACTTTCTTTAGATTTTGCTACAAATGTATGAAAAGTCTAATTTCCTTGCACACTGTACAGGATTCAGCAATAATTGTGATCAATAAACCACCTGGAATGCCGGTACAGGTAAATTATAAGTTTGCATTGCTCAGTTCGTGACTGCAATTATTGACCTTTTCTTCACATTAAAAGAAATTCCTATTTAGGGTGGCGTTGGGATAAAGAGAAGTTTAGATGAATTGGCTGCCAAGTATTTGCTATATGACTATACAGAGTCTCCTCGCCTGGTAAGTTCTACGAGTTTTTAATGTCGAAGGGAAAAAAGAAGAGGGAGAGGAAGAAAACACAGAGAAAAAATGTTGAGACAAATTTCTTTGTCATTGGATATATAATATCAGTTGTCTATGTTATTCAACAATACTAATTATTTTTATACTTACCTAAAGCTAATAGGAAGTTCAAAAATAGCGTAATGGAGAAAATTTTCTTACTTAAAACTAATAATTATTACAAGAATTAGAAAGTATGTGAAATGCATGTGTAAGATTTATACTGCTTTTGGGCCAAGTTGATATGGGCCAAACTAGGTTGCACATTTGAGATTGGTGGCTACTACCATCTCCAACGAGCCCGCATCTGTATGTTGGTACGTGCAATTGAATATGCATGTACTATGTTTCTTTCTATTATAAACAATAGATATTTCGCCAAGTTTAATCTAGGAACTGTAAATTGAACTTGCAGTTAGAAATGTTTTATGATAGTTCCACCTTGCACCCACATAATATTCCATGCATAATCAATTCTGCTTCCAATTGAATGAATCCTGGAACTGAGCCATATATTCTTCATGATTCATAATCATGAGCTGGTTAAATAATATCTATGATCATACAGTTTTCCTAAGTTAATATCTTTTCGCGGGTTCACTTATAATGCAATTCCTTCTAAGGCCCCGTTTGAGCCAAATTATTATAGAATAAGAATGAAAACTTTAGCCGTTATTGGGGCCCACAAAAGAGATAGAAAATTTGAATTTACTGTTGATGTAATGGATAACGGTCATATTTTTCATTTTAATGAGATAATAATGTAAATAAAATGGGGACTAATTCTCTGTTGGTTGCAATATGTTTTCAGTGTTGTATTTAATCTATCTTCGAGGGTGTATTGTTGAGGACAAGTTTTTTTTTTTTAGGTTCACAGACTTGATAGAGACAGCAGTGGCATATTAGTAATGGGAAGGACACTATTAAGTGCTACCATTCTGCATTCAATCTTCCGAGAGAAAACTTTTGGAGCATCAGATGACGTGTGTAATTTTATAATCACAATCTTCATTGATCATTGACTCTTGTCGTATAGGCTTAACTAACTCCATGTCTGGTCGATCCTTTCATGTCTTAAAGGTTCTCGCGAGTAAAAGATCCTTGCAGAAGCGCTATTGGGCACTTGTTATTGGATCTCCTAGACGTGCTGGAGGATTAATCTCAGTACCATTAGGAAAGGTGCATTTCTTTTTTTTGTAGTAATCTTTTTAAGAAGAGTCTTCAATTTTGGAGTTTTGGCTATGTCGATCGTTATATGTTCTTGCTCCTTATATTCTTCCTCCAACTAATTTGTCAAGAGAAGCTTTTCTAATGCCCAAATAATTTCGTTTGATAAAAGCTCTAATGTTGACAAGCATTCGATAAAAGCTTTAATGTTGACTTATTTATGTTGTTTTTGCAAACAATTTAGGTGGTGATTGATGATGGAAAATCTGAGAAGATTACTGTAGTTGACAAATTCCACACATCAGTACAGCATGCTGTGACAGAATATCGAGTGATTTCATCTTCATCTTGTGGTTCGTTTACAGTGCTTTCTGAAATTTTGTACTATACTGGTCAAGAAATAAATTTAAAAAATTGCTTCCAACATTGTTAATACATGCTGCCAGTAAGTCTTTTTCAAAGTCATTTCTCCACTACATTTAGACATTCAGATGAGTGGCCAAAGTATATTGTTTTCAGGAAAGAGTTACAGATAATGAAGTTACTTTCCGGTAACTTCTTGTTTCCAAACATGTTTGGATAATTTACTTTACTAATTTGAAACTCCTAACTTTACTTTCAAAATTGAACTTCATTTTTTGTTTTCGGTTTTGACCAATGGCAGAATTACTTATTTTAAAACCTTTTTTAGTTATTTACTTAATCTCAGTAGAACTTGCTCGTAGTTTACAGGTTTATTGGGGGAGATGGGGTTCTCCAGTTGGAGTTTGATGCTTAGTTTCTACCTGTTCAGTTGTATAATCATAAAAGTTTTATGTTCGAGTTTCCTAATATAGCGGTAAAACTGCAGGTTACACATGGCTAGAGTTGTCTCCACTTACTGGAAGAAAGCATCAGGTCTGGATTACTGCTGTACTCGGTCATGATTTTAAAGCATCTCATAAGTCTCAAGCATGTTAATCTGATTTCTCCTCTTGATTTTGGCTATTACTTGATAGCTGCGTGTTCACTGTGCCGAAGTTTTGGGGACACCAATAGTCGGAGACTACAAGTATGGGTGGCAAGCTCATAAAAAATCAAAACATATCCTCGTTAGTTCAGATTGCCAACTGGAAAAAAAAAATTCCAAGGGAAAACCAGATTCTTTTGGCCTCGATTTGGAGAATGGAAGTATCTTTGATAAACATTTTCGTCTTCATCTACATTGTAAGCAGATGCTGTTGCCGAATATTGCTCAGGTTTTGCAACGTGACAATCCAGATTCGGATTTTGATCCTAAAACTGTGGAAACCATCACGATAGATGCTGATTTGCCTCCACACATGCAAAGAAGTTGGGACTTGCTGAATTGATATTTTCTGGAACTCTGGTAATTTTAATTGTATCAGATACCATTTTCCTTGCATACCGTTGAGTTAGTTGGCCATTTTGTCCCCATTGGCCAGAGTACAGCTCGCAAAACAGATTATTTTCACCAGGTAGCTTGAAATATATTCAAATCAGCACGTCAAATTGTTTACTGTTGAATGAGCATAAGATGCAATTTAATTATTTAGATGGGCTTCCAAAAATTCACATCAATTTTGTTATGCCTTGCCACGTGGCTCAGCCTACCTACAGAAGTATCTTCCGCCGACGCCATGTGGCATCCCACGTGGAGTAGGATCTACCAGAGTCCGGACAAATCTGACCCACGGAAACCCACACTTGCCGAAGCAATTCATGAGGTTGACCACTTTCGAAGCCCCGCTGCTGAAGACAGATCTGAGGTCCAAAAGAAATTTCTTTGCCGAAGTGGCAAGGTTCAACGAAATAGATTGAGGCTCAACTAAGGCTGGTGACAATCCACGTTTGAAGATCTTGAATTTATGAAATCTTTTTAGAATGATTTATTGTAAGTAGTGAGTGAGAATGTTAATCTTGTCAACATATGTTATAAGGTGGCTGCCTCATTGTTGTGGACATTTATTGCGGATGTGAGGTTTTGGTAAAGGAGATGAAGCCACGTGTCTCCCTATCCAATGGTTAACATGAACAATATAAATATCTCCCATTTGTGTCATTTGAAGGTAATGCAAAAATCTTAACTACCAGCCATATATTCTCTTCCTTTTGGACTAATCTTTGGTTTTTTAGTGTTGGAGGTGTGATCTTGATTTTGAGTTTGACTCTCGGTCGTTCATTATCGTGTAATTTATCTCATATATTTTGTCAAAACTCAAACATTTTTGTCTCGTGTTATAAAATTTCTCCGACGACCAAACCTTGTTTTATTATCGACCAATAATCATTCAACACGTGTTGGAATTAGCTTGAGAGAATGTGAAGGAGTCCAATGTCTGTTGTTCACGTCAACATTACGAAAAACGAGGTCAACAAATACATTGCCTAAAAGAGTGAAGAATACCTAAACTATTCTTGCGTGCACTGTGCTACATATAAGAGAAACAAAGTTTGTCCAAAATAACACAACATTTCTTCCTATTCTTATTCTCTTGATACGTTAATCATTTCGACATGTCTACAATATCAACTTTTCTAGATGCCTTCACATTTTTTGTTGTGTGTAGCTTCTTGTTTGTTGGGTTGCAATGTGGTCCATTAGAACATCCGTCCATCTTGTCAAAAATCATTCTATTTCGTCAATTGTCCAATGGAGATTTGTATCGTTCTGGACGAAATGAGCATGGTGCAAGAGATGATGAACAGGCCTTACAAGGGCTACCGAGCTTTTCAAGTGATTTTCCATTCCAAGCCATGGTGAGGGGCACAAAGGACCAACAAGACATTGCTATGGTTCAAGTCCGGGAGAGGGAGGGACACAAATACCACCAAGTCCTTCGAGTGGTTCATATCATTCTATTCCAAGCCCAAGTCAAAGACATGGTCAAGCAATTGTACCAAGACCACCAAGGATAGGAAGATGCAAGGTCGTGCAAATTCTCAAAAACAATTGTTTCTTTTTAAAAGTTCACGAATAAATAACAATTAAGTTCTGCGTGTGAACAAAATTGCATGTAACTCATACATTAAATTAAGATTAATGGGCTAATGTCCAATTTTCTCACTAATGATAGCGATTCAAGCACTTCTAATTGACTAAATTAAGGTCTCTATTAAAATTTTAAAGTTGACTTAGTAAGTGGAAAAAGGTTTATTTTTGCTTTAAAAAATAATAATAATTCTTCAATTTTATCGTGAATTTTGTTCTAATCTTATTTTGTAGTTATTTACATCGACTTTTAAATAGTTCTAGAACAAGAAGATCCAAACCGTTGAGATCAAGGATTAAATATCACGTGTACCATTAAATAATGTATTGCATCTTGTTAGTTACCATCAAATTAAAGGGCAAACTTCTTGCAAAAATCCTTTGCATTGAGCCAGCGATTAATTTGCAATCTTGGTTATCGTCACTTCATTTTTCCCAGCGAAAATCTCGTGTGTACTTGCAAAACTGATTGTGTGAAGGTTCAAATCGTTATTGATGATAATTACAAAAGAATCTACTTCGACTTTGAGTACAAGAACAAAGCTTTCCCAAGCTAATGGAACCAAGTTTGAGGCTTCTTTTGAGGAAGAGAGTGAAATCTTTTGGAATAATGTTATTTATCGTTATAATGATAAAATATCGGTGATGTGACAATTTATGCAGAATAATGTGATTGGACTGTTCAATTTTTACGAGAGAGGGAGAAATGTGAGGGATATGGGTTGCCACATCACCGATATTACATCATCATAATGATAAATAGTATTATTCAATCTTTTGATCCTCTTGTAAAAATATTAGATCATAAGTACTAGTATTTTAATAACTAAATTTTAAATAGTGAAGATTTAAAAAGTGGATATTGATCTAGAATGATGATAAGTCTCCAATGAATATTCACTGGACTATGTGATAGTAGTCCAATGTCACATAGACGTGACAATAGCCCTAATGTCACATAGACGGGCACTGCCACTGCTATATTGTGACGGTAGCCCCAATGTCACATAGACAGGCAATCAACATAACAAAAGGTACTATCCTATGAGAATTATTATCGTAACATATGCGGCATCAAGAAACTTGGCATTGCGTGTATAGAAATTTGTACCCATGTATGGAGCTAATTCGAGAATTGGAAAACACGTTTTCTGTGAGAACAAATCAAGAATTAGTATTTCACACAAAGAACGCAATTTTTTGCTTCGAGAAATGCTGCCATTTGACAGATATCATTTATCATTGGATAATGCTATCAATCGTAATTGACACCAACAATCATTAGATCATTTTTTTCCTTCTACACGTCACTTAATATTTATGATAGGTAAACAAGAAATGAGAAACGCGATGGTTGTATAAAAGACTCTATTAATCAATATTTTCAGTTGAAGAAACCCCTCCACTCAATTACAAAATTTTCAGCCGCCAAAAGACCTAATCAGACCTACTGAAGTTTCCCCATGGCATGACATCACTTGTGCATGAAGGAAAGAGAACCAGCAAACGAGCTCATTTAACTATCACGTGTCTAGAGTATCTTACTAGATATCCTTGTGTCATGTTCAGAATGAAGGTTTAGCTGCATCTATTGCACTTGACTAAAGTACACATTCATAAAATATCTTGATGGATTGAAGCCCATCAATATCACTGCAAGAAAGACAAAATGTTCAAACGCTAGGCAAAAGAAGAGAATGCATAATAAAAACTAGGTATTGAGATACTTACAGACAGGGGAAAGGACTATGACAATGCCAATTGGATATAGAAATAAAGTGGTTCTCTCCAAGAAGGGCAATACTGCATCATTGGAGAAGAGAAACCACCAAAAGAGAGAATTTTTAGTAGATATAAATTTTGGCAAGAGAACCATTTTTTGTGTGCGCGCGCGTGCGTGCGTGCTTTTTTTTTCCCAGAAAATCAGAAAGTCCATAATCAGAGAAAATGGGGGCGTATAATAAATTCGAAAACCCCTAGTATGTTAAGTGCATATTAGTAAATGGAAAGGCAGTCTTTCAGGTAAAATTTATCTTACCGTCATAGCCTAAAAAATTGAGGTAATGATAGTAGGAAACAGCCACCATGAAGAGCAAATTTGACAACAATTCAGGAACAAAACCATGAGCTACCAGAAGAGGTGATAGAAAATAATGCACAACTGCCAGAAAATGAAGACATCAGCGCATCTCAGCATATATTTAGACTGTACTCCAAGAAGACGAGTGGTTTCACGTCATACTAACCATAAAGCAACACGAACATTGGGAAGAAAGAGTTGCAATGTACATCAAAGGCATACAACCTTCAGAACATGGGTCAAAACCTAGTTAGCAAGACACCCCAGTTGCAACAATAGCATTGAGACTTTCCCAAAAAGTGCAAAAAACTCCATTCATCCTAACAAGGATATTATCAAATAAAACGTAGATGTCAAAAAGAGGAAGGGAAAAGCTGAGAACTTGCCACTCTACCCTTTGCTCCACCACATGGCTGTTTAAAGCTTCTTCTTGAAGATAATTGTTTGTAAAGAACCTGCATAAAGTTTGTTGAATGAGTTTCCATTTAGCCACCTTATGTAATCATGAAGGTTAATTCCAAAACGATGCATGATTTGATCAAAGATAAAGGCAAGGTTGTCATATTAAAGGTTCACTTTACTAGCTATTACAATTATCCCAAAATGATCCTCCAAAAACAAAAATCAAATTTATCCCAAAATGTGAGGTGAAGTGGAAAGCAGGGGCAAAAGAGATCTCCATTAAACCGATAGAATTTATTTCCCCTTTGACTAATTTCTTCTTAATTTTGCAGTTCCATAAACTTATGAGGACAGAACTTCCAGATCAACAAGTTTAAATAAACTTGACATAAGGACAAATCTAGATGCTCCAAGCTTTTGACATGCAAATCCAACATTTTGACAAGTTCAAGGCTGAAAGCACGTCATGTTGATCTCCATAAACAAAATATAGATAAGATGTCTGGTTCTACCTGAAATTTCGTTAATTCGTTGTCATCTAAAATTTATTTTACATTCCATGATGACAAATTTCACCCTGCAATTTTCATTCTTGATATAGTGAAAAGAAGGAGAATAATTAATGTGCTCCATAATCCATATTTAACTTTCCAGGACTAATACAATTTGAGACATCAGGAAGAAATTCAGCAATTTTTGGCCTAAAACTGGAATTCTCAACTTATTACACAAGTGTATGGTTAAAAAAATTAGTTTTACTTCTTCCAAAACATTGCCCAGAATTAGACCAAAGCACTTTAAAGTCCTAGATTTTTTGGAGAAGGGAAAGTCACTGATTAGATTTATAAACAATTCCAGTATGACCGTTGCTTCCTGCATCATATTAACACCACTCTTACACTCCACAACAACTCAAATCATGGAACAGCATTTCTTATGGGGTTTACTGTCCTAGTATGAAGGATACTTGCAATGATAACCATTACTCTATTTATACATATCAGCAGTTATCCTTACCAACAAAATGTAGCCAATACTGCCCCGGTTATTAGGAAATGGAAAAGCAATACTGAAAAAACTACAAAAACAGCATGTCCCGCATTATGATCATACCTGAAACAAATGACATAGCACATCGTTGGAAGATCAGCATTAATGAGCAAATATTATAATATGTGAAAGGAAACATTCTGAACAAGTTAGAAGGACAATGACATGGAAGCTTTTCTGAAGAAAATCTCCGAATGTTGAAAAAGCAAACATGATGTCCTAAGTATCGCAACTAAGATTGACTAATAAAAATATTCTTTAATTATTCAACATATAACCAAAAGAATATGTAAATCCACAATAGAAAGCAAGCTCACAGACACTTATGCTGCACAATAAGCTAGTGTAGAAACCACCAAAAGAAGACTGCATATCAAAACAAAAGCAGGATCATCACGTGCCCATTGGTTCTTTGTTTCTGCAACAAAGAAACATAAAGAAAAACTACGAATTCTGTGAGTTAACCTGTCAAACCTATCAAATTGTTTGTTCCCTGTCATAATTTAGATAGAATGTGACAAACTAAGTGGAGGTCATAAAACAATGATGAAATCAACCAACAAGAAATTCGCCAATCATGCAATATATTGAAGCAACATATAAAAAGTGCAAACTCATATAACATGGAAATGGTTCAATATCAGCTAAAACGCCAAACTACAAAGAGGATAGATAAGTTCATCTAGTCCCACAAAACAGAAAGATCTAACGTAAATATGTGCTCAGGCTAAAGCTACTGTTATCGCATTAACAAAAGTGACCAAAGAATTGCTCTAGTTATAAACTAGATAAGCAGCATTAAGTCTTTAAAGTTTAAAATTAAGACCAGAAAAGATGACAAGCATAATTTATTTCATTCACAAAATCTATGGTGGCATTCATCCAGAAGAATTGTTCTAGTTATAAACTAGATAAGCAGCATTAACTCTTTAAAGTTTAAAATTAAGACCAGAAAAGATGACAAGCATAATTTATTTCGTTCACAAAATCTATGCTGGCATTCATCCAGAATCATGCCAAGTCAATCAGTTTATTGAGAGATATGTAATGATTACAGCCCTTGTTTGATTCCCATTATTTTTAAAATACATTTTTCTCTTTTTTTTTTTCAACCACACATTCTTCAATAAAATAATATTACACGCAAGCCCAAAACTTTTTTATATTCTTTAACCACACTCTCCATAAAAGACTATTGCAAAATGCATTATTTTCAAAAATGGGGCTCAAACATGCTCATAATGTTGAATGAAGAGGATTCTTCAAGTTGAAAAATCTTTTGACATATTAGTGCTAAAGATGACAAGACCAAACTGCACAGCTTAGCAAATAGAGTCCACGGCAATATAATGATTTACATTGAAGTATATAACCGGACTAAAAGAGGTAAAAATAAAGAACACTTACGCTTATGGTACTTTGTGTGTTGATATCTGCATCCATTTCATAGTACACGCGACATGAAGAAATATCATTAGAAATGCAAAAATATTATAAAGAAATGATGAGGAACACAATTTTTCTTTAAGAACCACAGAATAGCAAAATTACCAGTAACACAACTCGTACAAACAAAATCATGAATAATGATTTGCCTAAAAACTGTCTTGTACACTATCCATCACTACCACCCCGCATTGCACGGACACTTCAACCAGGGTGGTGCGTCCGTATTCTACATGTGTCGTATCAGACACAAGTGTCCATGTCGGTGGATGATAACTACCACCACTCTCAAAATACTCAGATTACCCCATAAGTACATTTCAAACCATTATGCTTCGGTTATGTACTAACAAAACTAGACTTAGCTAATTCAAATTTCAAAAGGGGTTGAACAATGTGCATTGTGAATGAGTTACTAAATGACTATAATAAACGCTATTGAGTTTATATTAATAGAGAAACGGCAATAAGTATAAAACCATGTCTCCTAGTGTGCGGATACTATAATTCACACAATGAAGTAGGAACATAACTCATTGCCTAGCCAGGCATGCAGTATGCTATAGGTTCTTAGGATAAAATTTCAAGAATTTTAGATGACACTATTGGATTCTTTAGATAACAAGACTAATAGGGTGTTTGGTGGAGATTAAAATTAGATTTTTAGTAGATTGTGATGGAAGTTTTTGAAATGTGTGGTTGAAAAGTTGTAGGACCCATTAAAGATGTGGATGATATTGATTGTTTGACTTTGATTTGGATTAGAATCAGATTTTAATCCGGACCAAATAAGGGCTAAATTAAAGTAAAGGCTCGCTGCCAATCCTCGTGTAAAAGTTAACTTGCAATTTTTATTTGAAAATATTGCCTCCTTTATTTTAAATAGAGGGAAGCTACATAAAAGAATAATTCACTATGTAAAAAATAGTGTTCCAAAATTTGGATAACCATCCAATACTCAATCAGTAAACCTAGAAAAATAACTCACACCACCTACAATCTTTAGACGCCAGAAACTTACACCACTTTCGGGGAGGTACATAGGTGAAGCATTTGCCAGAAAGTATATTCAATGTCCATTTGTTGCCACTGCAGCCAACCAAAAGAAATGTATGTCATTTAAGGAGAAGCGTAAAACATATGTATTTATAAATTCACGAGAGATACAAAGCACAGTGCTTCAATCAGGCTTCTGATATTCACAGGGATCCTGAAAAGAAATGCAAGTTTCAACCCTAATTGTGTGCATAACAGATCACAAATTAAAATATAGACATGTCCGCAGGTAAGAAATAAAGCAACTGAAAAGATCTGAACGATCATAATGGTTAAATCACATTACCCAAAGTCTTCACTTGCTCTGAAGCCTATTCAATTGAGTCCATTAAGGCCAACGCAAAGGCACTTTGCACTGTACACGTAGAACCTCTGGTAATCATATATTAGTATCATACGAAATTTAAGACAACTAGTCTACTTCTATGCTTCCTGAATTATAATGATACGCAAATATTATATTTCTTAAAGTGTAACTTTCCATGCCTTTCGTTTTCTATCAGCCCTTGCAAGTTGCATCATCGAACATCAGCCTCTCATAATTTTTTCGTGTTTTCCCAAGATGTTGAAAGTTCCAGTATTTTAATTCTGGCTCTGCCAAAGACTTATTGCGTTGCCATTTGAATGTTAAATAAATTACACTAGAAAGGAAGGATTGTCCAATAAGAGTGGCTGATCCTTTAGTAGTTACTGGTTCTATAACCCAGTATCATATTGAAGTTACACCAATCCCAAACATATGATCAGAAACTGCCTACCTTCACTACGTGTTCAGTTTCAAAATTTGCCTTCCAAAAGAACACTTAAATCGTCTCATTAGAAATACAAATTATGGTAGAGTTAGCAGATGGTAACTTCTTGAAAATAGTTGTCAAACACTAGGTAATTTATCATCACTTGGAGTAATCAAATTGGATTTATAAATGTATTACTGAAAAACCATCTCATTATAGAAGCCATCAAATCAAATCATATTTCATCTCCCACTAGAACCAAGACTGGTGCCTCCCATAAAATCCCGAGTGAAAGTTTCATAAGTTGTTCTTCTGTTTGTCTTATTGGACTGTGCCCAATAAACTGGAAAAACCCCAAAATATAACGAAAATATCTGGAATGGGGCTTTGAATTTTTAGATTGCAAATTCATTGGCAACAAGGTTGACAGACAACCATTGAGCAGCTCATAACATCACAGCAGAGTGAAATGAACCGTGCTGAGCAAATCTCACATTCCGTCAATTGAAACTAGGCCTAATTAGCAAGGATATCTGACAAATTTCTTCAGTATCAGTGGCAAGGATAACATAGCTAGGGAGGCTGTCATTTATTGTCTGAGAACAAATTGTTAATTAACACAGAAATAACATATCAAATCTTGATGAAAGTGGACGTTGAGGACAATGAAAAATCCAGGCAGCTAGAAAGAAATCTGATCGGCTCAAAGGCAACCTAGTCACTGTCTGGTGTTGATCTGGTACTCTATAATTAATGATAATAGTGCAGTAGAATAATAGGTCTCTTTACCAATTAAAACCATATACAAAATATTGTTCAAATAGATTTTGCCACAGCTTTGCCCCCACGAGCTCAATTCTTCAAAAATATCACATTTCCGGCACCGAATTAACACAAACAACAAAACTAGGAGGAAAAATGCAAATAGACAGAAGAACGCATGAGAATCTAGTATTCGTTTTTTTATTCACATAACTAAATTCCCGTCCTTCATCTAAAAAAAAATTGATAATAGGAAACAAAACTCCTAATTGGCAACCATTCATCTTTCATAACCAAATGCATAAGCGCAAACATGTTGATAATTAATGCAGTGAGATGTGAATTATGAGACATCTTCAAAAAGATTTTACGAGTAGAAGGATCATTATCAGCTCTATATGCAATCGATGGAATCCTAAACAGCTTCATATTTCTCCATGTATTTGTGAGTAGGAAAATGAACCTTGACTATTCTGCGGAGGTACTGAGGGAGGAAAGAATTGGGTCGGGGATGGGAACCCGAACTCCCTTTCGTTGATGAAGAGGTTGTTGGGTTTTAATACCCAATAAATCCGGCGGGCTACGATGTTAAATCGGTTTTATGTTGGATTGGTCTTCATAGGCATTGGCCGATGATTGAAGTGGAATGTCGACACCACAATGAACGTATCATCCAGACACCCTAA